CTTTTGCATAAAGGCTTGGCTCATAAAATTGCGAGTATCTCCGCTATCCAACAAAGCGTTGCACGACGCTTGCCCAACTTGGATGCAAACATAGAGGAGCGGTGCGTTGTTATAATCGTACCGCTGCTTGCGAAACTCATTGGCCACCTTAGTAACATACGCAAGAATGTCCCCCACCGCAGCTTCGCCATCCGTCGGCGAAGTTGGTGGTGCATAAAAGGATAGATACGTGTGAAGATGAACGCATAATGTTGCTCATTGTGGTCCCGACAAGCGAACCGTGGTCCGGAGACGAAGCCATGTGAAATCCTCCGATGTGAGCGGGTCCAAGAGCTCTATGTTGAACTCGCGCGCTGAATCCCGTGAAGACCCACTTGAAGACGATAAGTCGTCGCTGCCGGACGGAGAAGATGTCGCACACACGTCTTGTCCTTGAGCATGAGTACCCAACGTAGGAATGAGTCGGCCAGCATAGTCCTCGTAAGAATATAGAAGAGGAGGACTATCGACTTTCGCATGCGCCTCGGAACGAAGGGCGGTCACCCGCGAAGCGACTGGTTCCGAAGGCGTCGAGAGTGTCGTCGATTCACTCCTGGCGGTGCTCAGTTTCCCGACTTGCCCTTGCCTTTCAACGGGCAACCCACTGTGTCGTGGAGATCACTATTACACCACATACAATAGCGGAATCTCGTGCATAGCTTGTACGCACGTTCGAAGAGACCGTAGTGGGGCCATGGGGTTGGAGTTGCCGCGCCGGACCCGGCGATAGATGTGGTGTTTGTCTTCGTCTTGCCGCGTCCTCGGCCTTTGCCGGGGCGGCCACCATCCCGGGCGGTTGCGAGTCTGTTCCCTTCAATGGCAGACACGGCCTTGCTAGAAGGGTCGATTGGCGTTGTCGTTGCGACCACAGCCACTTTCGGCCAATGCTGATCTCTGCTAGGGCCTATCGCAGATGAACGGTTGAGGTTCTCGGCCTCCTTGTTCGTGACAATGATCCGCGCGGCCTTGTCAAAAAGCTCCGCCGTTGTCCTCAGGGTGTCCTCGACGTGAGTCAAGGCATTGCCCAACGTCGAACATGACCTCGTGATGTAGTGTTTGACGGCCTTGAAGCCCATCTGAATGTCTGGGACGGATGTTAAGCGTTGGTACTCGGCACTCCAGTCAACACTTGTCAGTGTGCCTTGTTCGAAGGTCAGCAATTTGTCCATTGCCTTAATCTTCGACGGCTCTACTTGGAACTGCTTATGCCACGCCGCCTTTAGATCATCAGCTGATCTTGGTGTACAAGTCGGCAGCTACCACCCCGTACTTGGACAAGAGATTGTCCAACCATGCTTGGCACGCGCCCCCCAACCGGGAGTATTAAGTACGCGTGATCCTTGTCCTCACTGACGTGGTGTAGCTGCAACTTGAGCTCCAACTTGCGGAACCACGAAATCGGGTCCGTCTTCGTCGAATCACTGAAGATCTCCTGACCATCGAACTTTGGAATCGTCTCTCGCGGTGCTGAACTCGGTGTGGCGGCGGCAGCACAGATTCGCTGCTCCAGTTGTTGCATAGTGGTTTGCTGTAGCTGCGCGCCGTCCGTGAGGGTTCCGACGTCGATCTCCAATGCATTGAGGCGATCGGAGGTGTTGGAGGCGCTGGCATCGGGGGCGGCGACAGGTCGTTGCTCCAACTGCTGGAGGCGGCTGTTGACTTTATCAAACGCCTGGTTGTGCGTCTGAACCACGTCGTCGAGGCTGCTGTGCAATGCACGTTGCCAGGAGATTCGTGAAATGGGAGACGAGTAGAGCGATCTTGCTTTTACGCTCTTCCATCTTACCATTCTCGGCCTCGGCTCGCCAGTCCGCTGCCATTGTGAGCAAAACTCGCTCTCCATTGAATATCTTCTCGCGTCGTTGATTTCGTTCTTCATCGGCAGCCTTTGCTGCTGCCTCGTCTTGCTGGCGCTGCTGTTCGATTGCCAACAGACGTGCCTTCTTGGCATCCTCTACCTTCTTCTTCTCTGTGGCTGCTACCTTATCCGCCCATTTCTTGGCTTCGGTATTCAAAGCCAGCATCCGGGCCTGATAGGCCTCGGCAGTTTCCCCGAACTTCTGATCCATGCCGGTCGGAGGACTGCTGACATGGCACTATTCGGCTGTTGACGAGGTGCGGCTGTCGGCTGCCGGCTGCCGGCTGACGTGGCCTGCTGAGGTGGTCTGCTGACATGGCCTGCTGACGTGGTCTGCTGACGTGGCAACTCACCAATGTCGCCGCAGGTAGGAGACAGATAGAGAAGATAAGACCAGAGGGGACAACAACATAGGTGGGGAGGGGTGGGTGTGATAAATCACCCAGATAAAGAGCCACTAATCAAAAAAGAAAAGTTCGAACTTCTGCAGAGAATTTTTTTTTCGAGAAATTGATAAAAATCCCGAATTTTGCAAGTTCAGTAGGTCTCCCAATCTCCCTTAAACCACCAGTACCTCCGCCAGTGTTAAGAAATTACGATGTCTTGGCCAGTACCCGAACCTCTCGGGGTGGGACACAGTGTCGGCAATGTCCCATAAATCTGAATTTTATAGTGACGGAAAAAAGGGAAAAAAAAAATGCTTTCTCTACTGCAATGATGTCGGGCTGGGTAGTCCAGGAGGCCGTGCTCACAATCTTCCTCCACAGAATGCACCTTACAGGTAAGGCGGTCCCATTCTGAATGTTACTGTTTTCTTTTTTTTGTTGGATGTGTGTTTCTTACGAGTCCCTGTCCGTGAATTGCTCAAGCTGTCCGTGATCTGCTCAAGCTGTGTTTTGTCAGAGGATTGTAAGGCTCATCACACCGGCACTTAGGGGGATGTATCCAACCATTTTCATGGCCGGATCCATGTGCCCATTTTTTCCCCCTTTTATTCTCTTTTTGGAATCTGACAACCTGGCCACGGGGCTGAGATGCCCTCATTGAGGGCACACTCACAACTGCAATCACGGCCAAAGCTTTGTTTCCTTTTTTTTTTATTCTTTTCTGAGGTTCACAGCTGCAACTTTTCTTCTTCTTTTTTGTTTTTTTTTCTTTCTTTCCGTGAGAGTACCGGAAAGAAAAAGGAGAGTACTGGTGGTTTAAACCAAAAGAACAACGAAAATCGGAATCTTCAGAAAAAGAAGAAAAAAAATCGATTTTGGCAGTTAGGTCCAGATGTCAGATCAGGTTGTCCTGATTCACGTACGGTGCTCCGATACCAACTGATACATGCCCAGTTGGGCAATGTATGTACAGCCAAGGATCCGCAATTGTGATAAAAAGGACTGAATGGACAATGTGGTATTGGAATCTCAACAAGCAGTGTTCATCCTGATACATACAAATGACACTTTGTAGCACAGTGGAAGACTAGGATATAAGTCCTGACTTGACCGGGATTGACAGGGCATCCCATTATGCATCACCCATGTGAGAGGAGGAGGAGATACCAAAGTGTTGCATACCGTAATGGTACAAACCAGAACAAGGACGGACCTCCCTCACATAGTACAAGACAGCGCAGCGGAATGCTAGGATACCAATGATCAACCCAATCAATGTCACAATGCAGATCCAACATACATCATCATCGTTGCAAGGTATGAAGGGCCTGGCGCTACACACAGGAAGAATGTGTCAGGTCCAGACCATACACAGACGAAGAGGAGGGGACCAGACGAAGAAGAGGGGGAAGATGGGAATGTCGTCAACACCAAGTCTTCGGAACAGGTCCCAAAGAATCCCTCGTTCAATGTCTCAACCCCAATGTCGAGTCTGAATCCAGATGTCGTCAAGTCCCAAAGTCACCAATCTCTCTCTCTCTCTCTCTCTCTCTCTCTCTCTCTCTCTCTCTCTCTCTCTCTCTCTCTCTCTCTCTCT